TCTTCTATAGAAGAGGTGCCACAAATCTACCGTGCCATTTAGAACCTGTTCCAGCTCCCTCCCCCCGCCCATCTGCACCACGCTTGCCCCACCCGCTGCTCACTGATTGGCTGGCCCACCAGTCACCCCACCCGCCTCCAAGAGTCCTATCTAAACCTTAAAGTCTTAAAGCTGTCAAGTTATTTATATATGATTATATGCACACACACACACCAGGGGTGGGTTCCTTCCAGTTCTAACCTCTTCTATAGAAGAGGTTCCACAAATCTACCGTGCCATTTAGAACCTGTTCCAGCTCCCTCCCCCCGCCCATCTGCACCACGCTTGCCCCACCCGCTGCTCACTGATTGGCTGGCCCACCAGTCACCCCACCCGCCTCCAAGAGTCCTATCTAAACCTTAAAGTCTTAAAGCTGTCAAGTTTGAAGACCGTGGTTCTAATTAAATGGCCTTATACCAGTAATAAGAAATATTTTTATCAAAACATTTTGCTACATTCCTTCTCTTACTTAACTGTTTTAATTTGTAAAAGAAACTTGTCTTATAAATGCTTCTTCCACACAAGAAAAATTAATATTCTATTTGTTAATAGCAAAATCATAATGAAAGTCAAGTTATAATTTCTATACATTTATTTAGATCCTCCCCATAGAATTAACTGCCCAAATTGAGTTAAAGATAAACATAGTAAGAATATTATTATTGGGAGTGATATTTGGGGTGCATCCAGATAGCCATTTATTGTACACTCACATGCATAATATTAGAAAAATTATCTGAACATTAGCAAAATAACAGACTTAAGTTTTCAGAGATAACTAATGTAACATCGTTTTTTCCCAATTATAAAATTATACAATGGGTTAATGGAACATACTAGAAAAGAGGGAAAAGAGAGATTTTGAGCATAGTTTACCTATTTTATATTGCAGCTTTTTTTTGGCTGAACTGGAGAAGTGCCTTCAGGAACATGACCGTTTAGCACAGCTCTTCATCAAACATGTGAGTTACAAGTTAGACTTTTCTTAAAAAGAAATTAAATGCCTTTCATATTTGCTCAGTTTACAGCATCATTTTTAAAAGATATCAAATAAGAATTACATATTCTAGGTCATGCCATTCGGATTTTCCATGTTAAAAAATACACGATTTCATACATTTTTTATTTTCTAGATATAAGCATGTTTAATTTCAGTCATAATTCAAAAATACTATGTTTTTGCTTAGCATTTTCTTACCATTTAAATAAAATGGTTAAAAATGAGTGTTGGACATTTAACTTACAATCCTCCTAGACTAAAATAATTATACATAATGTTTAGGTTTTTCTTCCTAGCTATATAGCCTTGTCATTGTGTTCGGGATACTGGTCTTCAAGGGGGAAAATCTAATGTAGTATAGATGCATAAAAACAGAACACATACCTTCAATTTATACATTCCAGAATCTATCCTGAAAAAGGTTATCTGACTTGATAGCAATCAGAGTTCAAACCAAGAAGAGCATGGACACATTTGGAGAAACAAAGACAGAGATAATCCAATTCTCTCAGTCCTTCTTAATCTCACAGTGACTTTCAGTGCCATCAATCATGGTATTGTTCTATTCTTTCCCATGGGATTGGAATGATGGATATCATTCTTCAGTGGTTCAGTCCCCCCCCCCCCGCCCCAGAGATTCAATCCAACCTCTGGGGGGGTGGGGGGAGGAATAGATTCAGATTGAAACACTTTAAAACAAGGTGGCTTTGGTTAGTGACCCCACCTGAATGCTTTCCCCAGCTTGTTATGTATATAAACTAATCTTTTGTTCTTTTGTTTTCTTTAGTATTTTAAGGCTCTCCCATCATTTCTTGATTAGATTAGCAGACAGGAAAAAATGTGCAGGTGCATGATTGCATTCATTTTTCTGCTCTGCCCAATAGCTGTGAAAGTTGTAACATCAGCTAATTCTAAGAGAGCTGTGTATTTCACTTTTTACAGGAGAGGCGATTACACATGTACGTGGTATACTGTCAAAACAAGCCAAAATCAGAATATATAGTAGCTGAATGTGGTACATACTTTGAGGTATGTTTGGGGCTGCAGCTCGGATATGATTTCCTTCTTCTATTTTCATGTACATATCCATGGATCTGCATCAGCAAGTTTTCCCTCCTTGGGCTGTTGGTTTTGCTCTTGTGTTGTTTTGCTTTTTCAATAAACGCTTCCTCATATTTAGCAGTGGATATTTGTAATACTTGACTTTTTAGCTGGCAAAAGTTGAGAATGAGTGAGTAAGGAATGTAGGGGAGTAATTCCTGAGTATTAACTAGTTTCTAATTTTTGATCTAATTAAAATGTTTCCTAAAACTTTAATATAGAAACTGGATTCCTGGTTTCAGTTTTACTTGCAAGTTAAGGTTATTTTTCAGGTTATATCATGCTCTGAATGACAAGTAGTGCTGATGATTTGGCATTGCTTTTAGTAAAAAGCAAGGTTAAGTTTCTTACAATTACATCAAATAAGCCATTCATTTGACATCATTATATTACATTTTACATTATTTTGAAGCAGATCCATGACTGATTACATAAACGTATGTAGAAAAGGCATCCAGTATTTTCTGAATAATTGCACGCTACTTGTTAGTATAGGTAGTCCTTGACTTACGATCACAGTTGGGATGGAACCTCAGTCATTGAGAAAAGTGGTCATTAAGTGAGATCTCATGTGGCTGCTTTGCTCAACAATCACAATCTTGGCACTCCTGGTTGCAGATGTTGAGTAATATCATGGGTCTTTAAGTAGTTGGAGCTCCAATTGATGCCTTGGCGGGGTGGGGGAGACCATGGCAAGGCTCTGCTGAGGAACTGAAAATCCACCCTGCCAAAATCCAAGTAGACTTTTCAGCTCTGAGTGAAGAGAGACACTTGCACGTAATATTCATGAGACTTCCTAGGACTGTGATGGCGAACGTATGGCAGGCGTGCCAGAGGTGGCAGGCAGAGCCCTCTCTGGGCATGCGTGCCATCACCAGCTGCTCTTCTGGTTTCCGGAGTGCACAAGTATGCCAGCCAGCTGATCTTAATACATGCTGGCACTCCAGAAACCCAAAGACCAGCTGGCCGGTGCAAATATGCACGTTGGCCACCTGGTCTTTGGGTTTCCTGCGCTCCCGCACACATGCCAGGCACACATGCATGCGCCTGAAACTAGAAGATCAGATGGCTGGCACGCATATGTGCACAAGCCAGCTGGTCTTTAAGTTTCTGAGGCTTCAGGGTGTGCGCTCCAGTTTGGGTACTCGGTGCCGAAAAGGTTCGCCATCATTGTCCTAGGATGTTCCTCAACTGCCTGAGGCACTTTTTACTATGCTACTTCTCCATTCTCTACTTGGATTTCAGCTCCCTCTTGTGTCTGGGGGTTGGCTGAAAAAGCTGCCTCCCAAAGCAGGCAACAGCAGCTAGCAGCCTTCCCTGCCAGCTTCTGCATTGAATTTCTGGGTAAGTCTGCAGAGAAGATGGTAAATAGTTATCATCTAATCATAGGGCACTTGGCAACCAATCATATGCAAACAGGTTGCCCAACTTCCAGGCAGTGATCGTGTGACTGTAGGAGTGGTGGTGCAACATTTAGCAAGCATCACAAGTGCCTTTACAAATCATCCATCATTACAATCATGAGTTGAAGACTATCTTTGTTTATTGTAAGATGTTCCATAACTTCAAACTAATTTTTGTAGGCCCAATTGCTGATTCTGAGAAACTGTAAGTGTGGTCAGTGCCCTGATTGGATCCTACATATGCTCCCTTCAGTTCCATGGGGGGGAAAGCAAAGGAGAAATTATTTATTTTCTTTCGGTAGTGATTTCTCCTACTTTCATTTTATAGGAAGTGCAACAAGAAATAAACCAGCGGTTAACTCTCAGCGACTTCTTAATTAAGCCCATTCAAAGAATAACCAAGTACCAGTTGCTTCTCAAGGTAAAACACATCAAAAGATAACAAATGTGAGGGTTTTTTTAAAAAACCATCTGTGACTGAAATATAATTAGTAGGATCTCTTTAAGGGAGATGGGCAGCTATGTAAATTTAATAAATAAATGAATAAGTACTATGTTTACATGTTTTAGCCAGCAGTATTACTTAGCCAGTTTGTGCAAATCAGCTTTAATTCCTTTGGTATTTGCTTGACTGTTTCCTGAGGGTATCATGGTGCTGCGCCTGATTGCTATTCAGAAAGGAAATGTGTACATGCATGTCAGTGGTGGGATGCAACCAGTTTAACAACCAGTTTGGTGAGAGCACGCGTGCAGCATTAAAAAACCACCCATTTTATGCTTAAAAACTTACTTTCTATGTCAGTGCCAGTGAGTAAAACAGCTGACACATGGCAATCCGCTGTGCCGCCCGAATCAGCTGAGCTAAAAAACAGGGAAATATAGGGCAGGAAAGAGCAGGGCAGGGGGACGGAGCCAACTGCTCATCAGAACTACCAGTTCGCCCAAACCAGTCCAAACTGACTGAATCCCCACGCTGATGCCTGTATAGATAATCTCACCATCAGCTGGTGGGCATCATGATGAATTATTGTTAGAACAAGATATCTAAGTATCTAACGCCACTGGTTTTAGCTGTGTGTTTTTTCAAAGTACACACAAACATGGATTCCTACAGAAAGTTTTTTATAATTTTGGTAAAGCTTTATGGATTTTTTTTCCTCCACATGAATGGAGCTAAATGCTACAGTCTTCACCAGGAACCCCGTTCTGTGTGCCTCTCTTGCTTACACAAAGTAAAATGTTATTTATGATCAAGCCTTTGCCATCAAGATGGTGGCATCTCTTTTATGGAACTCTTTTTTTCTCTTTCTTTCCACATCTTATCCTGAATTTTGGAATTCTAACGGCTCCTAGAAGAATATTGACATTTTTAATATTAAAAAATGCAAATTTCTTTTTGGTTGGCATTAGTTATTTCTTATACAGAAGAAAAACTGTGACTACAGGCAGATAGTGCTATTTCTCTAGCTTGTAGTGCACATGGAGAACCATAATCTTAATTAAGTACATAACTTCAGTCATAAATTTAATTATGTATATAATCAGATGGTATGTACTATACATAAAATAGGTTTAAGCATAATTCCAGATAATTGTGCAAGAAGACAACAGTCATATTCATCTTTAAAAGTGCATTTAAATGTTAATTAGTTTTAAAGAATGATATTCTTTCCCATAGGATTTCCTGAAATATAGTGAAAAGGCTGGATTGGATTGCTCGGAGACAGAGGTACAGTTTATCTGCTAGCTTTTATTGTATTTAGTAACTGATATACTTTAAAAAAATATTTAGTTATAATATACCTGGATCAAAGGTCTCCAAACTTGACAACTTTAAGACTTGTAGACTTCAACTCCCAGAATTCTCCAGCCAGCTGTGAGAATTAAAGTCTACAAGTCTTAAAAGTTGCCAAGTTTGGAGACCCCTGATGTGGATATTTCTATTTGAATATTGAATTGCTTCCTTCTACACTCTCTCCCTCCCAGCAAGTAGGCAACAAAGCATGAGTTTATAGTTACCCATCAGTTTTTGAAAATGCCTCTTGAGACCCACTTGTCTTTACCTATTTTCCAAGGAAAACATTATCCAAGCTCTTTAAAGTAATGTGGATTTGGATCAGCTGGAAGCTGCATTTCTTCAGAGGTCAATTTGATGAATGGGCAACTCTTCACAATATATCCTGATTTCTGATTCTGACCTGTATTCTCTAGCAGGAAGGGTTGATCCATGTGTGGTCCTAGCCAGAGGGGTCCAAACAGCTTTTTACTTGTTCCCATATTTACTCTGTTTTCCCCCCACCCACCCATCTCTTACAGAAAGCTGTAGAGTTGATGTGCCTTGTTCCTAAACGCTGCAATGACATGATGAATCTGGGGCGACTACAGGGCTTTGAGGTATCCCTCTGGTTTTTTTTATTCAGTAATGCCAGTTGTTGTTATTGTTTTCTTGAATAAATGATTGAGGCTTCTTGGAAATTTTAAGAATGTATAATGGTCGCTTCCCAACACTTCTAGCTAGTAGCAGTGGGAATATTAGGAGCTGCTCTCTAGTCCTCTAGAACAGTGGTCTCCAATCTTGGCAACTTTAAGACCTGTAGACTTCAACTCCCAGAGTTCCTCAGCCAGCAAAGCTGCTCTAGAATATATACAGTAGTATTGAAAATATATAATATATGCATTCTTTGAAAATGTTTCTGAGAACAGAGCTCATCCTCTGTTGTCCCATAGGTGCTTTTGTCAAGAGGCAACTGGACTTTCTTGTTTTTCTTTGAAGACGTTTCAATTCTCATCCAAGAAGCTTCTTCAGCTCTGACAGGATAGTGGGGAATGGAAGGATTTATACTCCTTGCAGAAAGCTGGTTATTTGCATCCTTTTAGTGAGTCGTTGAAGGACGTGGAGGTTTATCTGTGTCCTCAGAGTCACCCGAATAGGGCTCCTGGTTTTTCCACTGGAAATCCCTTCCTACTCCCACACCATTCAAAGGGTGTTCATCCCAAATTGTATAGCTAAAATTCTGTAGAGATTCTCAGTCATCCAGATCATGTTTGTCCACAAAGTGCTTTTTCAGGAGGCAACTGGACTTTCTTGAAGCTTCTTGGAAGAGAAGCGAAAAGTCCAGTTGCCTCCTGAAAAAGCGCCTTTGAGACAACCATGATCTGGATGACTGAGAATCTCTACAGAAACTCATCTTCTGTTATCAAAGCAGATTATTTTTTAGGTGTATGAATGCTGAATTCCCCAGAACGGTAGGCTGAAGATCTCTAACCTCCATGATCCCATTTTGCTTTGTCGTAGCAAGTTGTTTGTTCTTATTGCTGTGACATATTGAAGGTATCTCACTTGGTGCCCACCCCTAATCAAAAATGTGACAGAGTTGTCGCAATCTGTTTTATTAGTCTAGTAATTAAGAAATCCAAATGCAAATGCTGAAACAATTTCTATCATGCATGTATGTATGGAGATGACTAGGGTATTCCACTCCTTTCTCCCACGTCCAAAAGCATCAACCTTGCAATAGATAAGTACACCTTCCAATTGTTTTTTTTACATTGTTTAAATTGAATTGAACGTTAAAATTCAGCGTGGAACACAGCAGCTTTCAGATCAGTGATTTGGAGATTAGGGGAGCTTCCTTTCAACACACTGGGAAGATGCCAGGTTAGAGAGAGCTGAATTTGAGACTGAACTCTAGGGTGATGCAGACTAAGTTCTTCTCCACCTGATAATATACAAACCCAAATTTATGCTACAACTTTCATTTTTGGGGATCAGAGCAGAGATAGTATTCTATTATCTTACTATCAGTTCGGTAGCAGGAGCTCTCGCACGCCTGGGCATGCGCAGAAATTTCTTAATGACATCAGGGTGGGTGGGTGGAGCCTCGTGCGCCGCCACTGCCAGTTCGCCCAAACCGGTGCGAGCCGGCAGCATACCGCCTCTGGGTCAGAGTATCTGACCCAGAGGCGGTATGCTTCTTTCCCTGCGTTCATATTTGTGCTCTGAGGACTGCTTCTTCCCCTGCGTTCATATTTGTGCTCTGAGATGGTTAGCAGAGATCCTGGTTGAAGAGTCCTTGCCTACAAAAATAGAGTGGGGTTCTCTCCCCCACATCTCCAATTAAAGGATGTCCATCTGTTACCTATACTAATGTTTTTTTAGGGTATTCATTCTAGAAGCATTTTAAATTCTTCTATACATTCTTGCTCTTTAATCTTAAATTGCTTCTATTTCTATGGAAATAGAAGTGGTTGTTGTCTGTTACATATTAGCCCCTGTCCCTACTCATTTGAAATATAAACTTCGTGTGTGTGTGTGTGTGTGTGTGTGTGTGTGTGTGTGTGTGTATTCTATTGGACTTTTGTCATTTTTATTTATAGAGGTTGTCCTGAGGATAGCAATTAGTAACCTAAATGCATTGTTTTCCCTGTGTCCATTCAATCTATGTTTACTTCATTTTTTCCTCCACCTGTCTTAGGGCAAGCTGGCAGCTCAAGGGAAATTGTTGCAACAGGATACATTCTATGTAACAGAGCAGGACTCTGGAGGGTTGTCTCGGCCAAAAGAACGCAGAGTTTTCCTCTTTGAGCAAATAGTCATCTTTAGTGAACTACTTAGGAAAGGCTCCTTAACACCTGGGTATCTGTTTAAGCGGAGCATAAAGGTAAGATATTGATAAGGCCACCAGGTCAATAAGAAGTTTGCTTCTTTACATCTTTTCTGGCCCTTTAGATGAAGGATAAGACAGCTATTTACCACCCCAGGGCAGGTCACCTGCCAAAGCAGACCTTGTGGGGAATCCTATCTACCAGACTGCATCTAATTACCTG